ATTTTATGCAGATGTAAAGCATAGAAAAAGACTTGATCACCCCAGCCAATCTAAAATAATGAAATCTTTCCAATTAGTGCCATTCAAGTCATCTGGTGAAATTATTTTCAAGTTGCAATATATATCGTAGCTAAACAAAATATTGCAGATTTTTTCAATGTTGTGCTGCCCTAATTAGATGTAACATAAAACTCTAATGTTTATAACTCAATAGAAAAAATTAAACAACACAAAACTAAAAAACTTAAAAAGTACCACAGTAATGTCAACAAAGCGTCATACAGGGAATTCTGGTAGAGCTATACGGTTATTCACCATATAAATGTACTGCTTAACAGGTTACAGATTTTTACCATAGCATTTTTACAGTTGTTTACCTTTGAAATTACAGTTTTTAAAATTTTTTACAGTGTAGGTGACTCTAATTTTAACATTTTTTTTAGTAATTATCTTTATACTAGCCGCCCAAAGAATTAACAACGTCTTGTCTTTATCAATCCACTCGACTAAGGTTATATTATCCAAATACAAAGATTCACAAGCGAAAGCAATCTGTACCTCAAAAACAGCTTCCAAATTTCTTGTTATCTCTTTCCAGACACTCACACACACACACACGCACACACACACACACACACACAAAAACATGATAGTGATTAGTGATGTTTTCCCCACACTGTCTCCAGCAGCTAGTGCCCTTTCCTTTGTGTGTTTTCTGTGTTTGTGTGTTTAGTCATTTTCAGTTATAGCCCACACAGAATTGGAGCATGCATACATTCACAGATTTACACAGATTTTGAGCCCATCATTCAGTCTCTATATATTTATTTATCTAAATGTGGGTAAATTAAAACTGTTGAATGATAATATATATTTCAGAATATCTCAATATATTTCAGAACTTTTAACTGTGTACTCTCCTGGGCGTCATCTCCATTCCTCTGATTTTCTGATTCTCATCTGCGCTCTATGGGTGACTGGCCTTTTTCTTTTCTGGCTTAAAAACTCTAAAACTCACTGGCCTATAATATCGGGCATGCATAATCATTTCGGGGAAGCAGAATCGTATTTATTTAATTCATTTTTATTTAACATTTTTAGTATGTGAAGTATCCCTAAAGACGCACTTTTTAGACTTACCTGTTTGTGAGGTGTTTGGGTATTTCAGATCAGTTTTATATTCACAATGTTTCTGACTTATTTTATTTTTTATATAACTTTTTAAATTCCTTTGGAATATCGTGTTTTCTGCTATCCTTGTATTTTTAAGTGTAAAGCACTTTGAGAATTAAGTTGGAAAGGCACTATAAAAGAAGATATTTTTTTATTGTTATTGTTATTATTATAATCATAATTGCATCCAAAATAAAAGCTTGTATAATGTTTGTGTACTCATTGCAACTCATATGAGCAATATCACACGAGTAGCAGCGGCTGTATATCGGCACTGGTGGTGGAAGTGCCGATATACAGCCATATCACTATGCTACGAGTGTGATATTGCGTTTTTACAACAGTTGGATGGCGTAATTGTGTATATAAAAACTAAATCAAACATGGAGAGTCTCAAAAACCCTTTTGTATGAGGAACTACTTCCTTCCACGTTGGATTCAAATCATAAGCTGACAGTTAAACAGCTGATCAAGCATCTTTTTAAACTTTAGATCTGTGGTGTCTGCTTTTTGCTGGCTGTATGTGGGCGGAGTAATACACAAAGGGTAAAGAGGCTGTACGGGTGTTAATATTACTTAAATATATCACAGCTATCAGCCAATCAGATTCGAGAACCAGACAGAACTGTTGTACAATTATATATATATATATTATTATATATATATATATATTTTATTAACTTCAGTAATATTGGGGTTGCCTTGGAATTATAAGGGTCTATGTGTGTTTCATGGTTTCATAGGATCAAAATGTTTGCATACCATATAGCAAACAATATGTGTGTAACCAACGCAATCTCACGGCAATTCATAACGTTTTGATTTAGTGGCTAATTCATTTGAAATTGTACGATCTAATTCATACAATTTAGTATGATTTGCTCATCACCCAATGACGGTTGGGGTTAGGGGTGGGTTTGGGTGCCACGCCTCCTTTTTAAAATTGTACATTTTCATATGACTGAGATCGTATAAATTCACACGAATTAGCTACTAAACTGACAAAACGTAAAACACCTACGTTTCCTCGTGAGATCAGGCTGGTGTAAGCGTTCTCTTTCATCCATTACCATTACAGAGACCTTAAATGTACTCTTGATGTACGTTATCAAAATTCTCTTAAGTTTGCAAACTGAGGTAAAAAAAAAAAACAAACAAACAGAGATTGAAGATGGAAGCTTCTAATTCTAAGCCATTTTCCGCTTGGAATTATCAGGTTCTAACTGGCAGATTGTTAATTAAAGCATTACCTTTCAAGAAATGCAGTCTGTCTCCTTATTAATTTATTAAACGAAACATGTTGTAGCCATATTTGAACATTTATTTAATGTTTTAGGTTATATATATTTTTCTTGTTCAAATTAAGCATACAAGGCTGTGCTTGATGTTTTGTTCAGTGCAGATGCTAATTTTATGTAATTAATATAGTAATATGTAGTATTGTAATCAAGAAACAAAAACAAAACTGATTTACCTGGAATTTAGACTGCTGTTCTTGACAAGATTGTCTATAACAGTGGTCTCAGACTAAGGTTCTGTAGGGCCGCTGCTCTGCATAGTTAAGCTCCAACCACCTCCAACTCACACTTGATAAATAAGCTGTGTCTCATTTCAGAGGCTGCATCCTCCGAAGGATGCAGACTTCAAAGGTGAGTTCTTTGAAGTCCACACAGGCTGAACCTAGCATTTTGAAATGAGACAATCTAGCCTAGATCTCGTCACCAGGCAACCGCAACAGCTGCTGTTAATAAGCGCTGATCAAATTTGTAAAGAGTTTTTTTCAAAGTGATTTAAAACTTATTTTAAGCGATCTGAAGGCAAAACATAGTATACTGAAGCTGGAAATATTTCCTTTGATCCATGCATGTACACATAAAAATGTAAACTGTCTATAAAATTACTTTTTAGTAAGACATGTCATACTAGTTTTTTTTTTTTTTTAAATCTTGGGAAGTTCGGGGCCGCAAAGGATCCACCGTTTGTGTCCTTCATTACCTGGGAAATGAACAACGCATTTGGAGACTGCATTTAAAGGAGCCTTCAAATTTTTAAAAATTTGACTGCCTTCGTCGTGCAGCAATGATGCAGAGCACTTCGAATGCATCCTTCGGAAGATGCAGCCTCTGAAATAAGACACAGCTGTAGTCTCTGGTCTTGAACACCTTGATTATTTGGATCGTCTGTCGTTGATTAGTGTTGGAACAGAACTGTGCAGAGCTGCGGCCCTCCAGGAATTGAGTTTGAGACCATTGGTCTATAAAATAGTCGACAGTGAGGTTTCTACTCAATTTTGTGTGGCATTATGTAGTCAATTCTGACGTTGCATTTCTTTCTGGTCCGTCAACAAAGCAGTCAGGCAAAATGACAAAGAAATCTGATCCTGATTGTTCTCTGTGCATGCATTCGAAATGCTGATTGTCTTACAGAAAGAACCTTATAGGGCCAAGCTACTTTGTAGATAAAACCTTTTTTGTTTTTTAAATAAAAAGTCTTAAAATATAAACAACTTATAAAAAAACATCACATAATGTAAATAAGTTGTCATTTAATTAAAATATACAGTTGAAGTCAGAATTATTAACCCACTTTAATTGATTTATTTATTTTTAAATATTTACCATACGATGCTTAACAGAGAAATTTTTACAGTATGTCTGATAATGTTTTTTTTTCTTCTGAAGAAAGGCTTATTTGCTTTATTTTGGCTAGAATAAAAGCAGTTTTGAATTTTTTTAAAACAATTTTAAGAATAAAATTATTAGTCTCTTAAGCAAATTTTTTTCTTGAATGTCTACAGAACAAACCATCATTATACAAAACTTGCCTAATTACCCTCACCTGCCTAGTTAACCTAATTAACCAGTTTAAGCCTATTAATGTCACTTTAAGCTGTAGAGAAGTGTCTTGAAAAATATCTAGTCAATTATTATTTACTGTCATCATGGCAAAGATAAAATAAATCAGTTATTAGAGAGTTATTAAAACTATTATGTTTAGAAATGTGTTGTAAAAAATCTTCTTTTCGTTAAACGGAAAACGGAGTAAAAAACAAACAGGGGGACTAATAATTTAGGAGGGCTAATAATTCTGACTTCAACTGTATGACTACAAAAATGTCAGATAGTACCTTATAATTCTAAGGTGAGGTTTTATTATATACCGCTAACAAACATCTAGGTAAATTATGTACAAAACAATGTGTAAATGAATATTTTCTGTCTTTTAGTGGCTGTGTTATATGAGAGACCTGCTGTTGCTTTGTTTACCAAACAAGTGGATCTAATTGGATTTGCATTGTACAGTTTTTTGTATTTATTTAATGTGTTAGGTTTTCAGCTCCTACGCTCTCAAAATCATTAAACCTGCTGAAGAAAGAAAAGAGAAATGGCTGTGTCTGGCTCTGGTTGTAGCACATAATTCATTATTTTACTTGCGCTTGTTTTCCGGTGCATCCGTGCTTCATTTCGCATGTCAGATTAATTTCTAAATATAGAGATATATTTAAGGTCAGGTCCTGTGATTCGCCGAATGTGTTTTATTTGTGTTTGACATTAGTGTGATGAGGGAAATGCCCTTTACATGCTCCTCTGAGCGCAGTACCAGATTTCACTGTCAGCCCAGATATTTGACGCTCTTCACATTAGCAGAACACGGCACACGTATCGATTTTTATATCTCTCCCATTGTCTAGCCTTTCCCACTCTTTCATAAACTGGAGAGAAATGCATTTAGTAGCTCTTATTTTTTTTTGCATTCTGTTATTTTCTTCCTAAAAAAAAAAAGATAAATCACAATAATAAAGAAAGAAATCTCTCTCTGTCTTACAGGGTTTAGCCGGGCAGCCATGCCATTTGGCCTGGTGAGGCGGGAGCTGTCATGTGAGGGTTATCCCATCGACCTACGCTGTCCAGGAAGTGATGTCATCATGATCGAGACTGCTAATTACGGTCGGACAGACGACAAGATCTGTGATGCTGACCCCTTTCAAATGGAGAACATCAACTGCTATCTGCCTGATGCGTTCAAGATCATGTCCCAAAGGCAGGTTTTTCACATTCCTTCCCTCTCATTTGCTTTGATTGCACAGCGCATGAATAACAGGAAAATTTCCCTCCAACAATCTCAACAACCAAACCAAACAGATCTCAGCGTGTCTCATATCCGAGGTTCTCTTTGAGTTTCAACTGTGCTGCATCTGGAGGCTTGTGCTGAAAAACAGGAAGTGATGCGCGAGCCGGGCTTTGATACGTATTGTCGCGGGAGTGGCGCACGGTTCCGCTCAGCTTATTATAAGACATGGTGGAAATAGGTTTTGGAAAATGTGGCGTCTCAATTAGTCCTTTCAGCTGCAGGCAATTAGGCGTCTCAAGTGGGTGCTAATCTACACAGGAACTCTAGGCTGGGATTTGCCTCTGTAGGTCTGCAGAAGTCCAGATGTGGAATTGCGTTGTCGTGCACTTTTTTTTTTTCGTCTAGTTCGTGTTCTGGTCAAATAATGAATCGCCAACGACCTCACAATCTGTCATTCTTACAGCTGTGTTAATAATAGATCGCTATACTTAATAACAGAAGCTTTCACTCAACGCTACTTCATTTCTTTGCAAAACTAAACTTTTCTTTTTTCTTTTTTTTTTTAAACTATTGATTTATAAAGGCTTGTATTAAATGAATCTATAATGAAAAGTCATGCTCTGCCCCATGGGTTTGTGTTGAAACCCTTCATTTGTTTAATTACTGTACTGTATGTGGACTTATATAAGGGTTTGAGCAAAAAGGAAAGATCTTTCCACATTTCTTTCTCCTCTTGGTCATTCTGTAAACAGAATTTATTACACTTTTAGGCTTTATTGGCTATGCTTTTTTCTTTCTTCATTTTCCATTAAACTGTTTAAACTTTTAAATACTGACTGGCAATTTAAATAAAAGCAGATTTTTCTCATTTTAAATAAAAACTAAAATCTTTGGGTGCTTTCACATCTAGGGGCTCTATTTTGACGGTTCATGCGCAAAACGGAAAGCGCAGGGCGCAAACGCATTCAGGTTCAGGAGTCATAATCCGTATTTACTAAATTAAGGACGGGAAAATCCGCTTTGCGCCATGGCGCATGGTCTAAAAGGGTTGAGTTTATTTTTTTAATAAGTTATAGGTGTGTTTTGAGAGTAAACCAATCAGAGTCTCATCTCCCATTCCCTTTAAGAGCCAACTGTGTCGCGCCATAAGCGCATTTGCTATTTACATGACATAAAGTAAGTTAACTTTCGCTTTTGCTCTCGTGGATAGGGAAACCTTACCGCACAGACATCAATTAGCCTATAAATAATTGATTTCGTTTGTTAAGCGCAAAGATTTGTTTCAAAACTATTTCTAACTAATAAATGAACAATAATAACAAAGTGTGGTCAAAATACTTTATTTCCAAATACACCTGCTATGCCCCATATGGTCTAAAACCTGACAGGTGGACAAATTTAAGCTTGTTTTTAATAAAACAAATTTAAATATGGATATAATAAATAATACTGCTAATAATAATAGCATTATACAAAAGCAAATTGAATGATCTGAAAAAGCTTCCCGAGATGAAGAAAGTAAGGCAGTGGTTTTTAAATTCATGTAGGCTAGAAATGAATATGTTTTGTAATATTTTAATCATTTATATTATATCCTATATATGTCCTTATTATATATATCCTTAATATATTATATCTTTTTCATATGTAAAGATATTTGCGTATTGCTCTACATCTTGTGTGTAGTGTGTAAGCCAGGCGCACTTTGCGCCAGACAATAGACAGACTTTGTTCTGGTCTAAAGATCAGACTATTTACAGTTTCTCAAAATAGAAACGCGCCAAAACACGCCTGCTTTTTTAAACCAGAACGCCTATGGGTGCACATATAAGCGCAAATTAATTTGCTATTTAAACAGTGTGGCACAACACCTCAAAATGACCCTTGCGCCGAGCTAAAAGTAGCAAAAAAATATTGCGCCGCAATTTGCACCACATTGCGCCGGGTGTATGATAGGGCCCCAGATGTTTGTTTCGGAATCTTGTGTGTTTGCCTCCTTGGTGTGTGGTATGTTTGGCATATGTAAATCCAGCTATCACGCTCAGATCTGCGCCAAAACAGTCGGTCCCAGATCACCTGAATGAGGTGCTTTCAGCTAGGGCTGAGTGATATTGCAAAAACAATGATCAGGATATCATGTTTCATATCAATTGATATTGATAACTATTGAATATTTTTCAACAATACATTTAGGAATGTTAGAATATTAAAATTATTGTTTTTTTTTATTATTATTTAACCACTTTATTTTAATTTACCAACACTAAAGCTGTTTTCACACCAGACGTGGTACATGCGGACAAATAGACGCGTGAACATTTTGAGATAACTGTTTAAGGGTTTTAGCAAGGCTGAAAAACAGTGCCACTTCATTTGGAGCAGTGTCTGAGTCCACTGGATCCTTTCAGAGGTTCACCCAGCTCTGTGATTTCATAAACTCCTCCAGAAACTGTTCCTGAATGATGGAAGCTTTCAGTGGTGCTTCTGAGAAAGCTTTCCACATTTTTTTTCTTCTCTTGGTCATTCTGTGAACAGAATTTATTACACTTTTAGGTTTTTTTGGCTATGCTTTTTTTCTTTCTTCATTTTACATTAAACAAATTGTTTAAACTTTTAAATACTGACTGGCAATTTTAATAATAGCAGATTTTTCTCATTTTAAATAAACACTAAAAACATAGTGTGCTTTCACCCCTAGGTGATTGTTTCGGAATCTGGTGCTTTTTGCCTCCTTGGTGTGTGGTACGTTTGGCATTTGTAAATCCAGCTATCGCGCTCAGATCTGCGCCAAAACAGTCGGCCCGAGATCACCTGAATGAGGTGGTTTCAGCTAGGGCTGAGTGATATTGCAAGAACAATGATCAGAATATCATGTTTCATATTATTTGATATTGATAATTATTGAATATTTTTCGACAATACATTTAGGACTATTAGAATTGTTTTTTTTTTATTTAACCACTTTAATTTACCAACACTAAAGCTGTGTTCACACCAGACATGGTACACGCGGACAAATAGACGCGTGAAAATTTTGAGTTTACTCTCTTCATTTGTGCGTCATAGACGGGGCATCTGTCTCCCGGTGACTATAGCTTCATTGCTAAATGGCTAACATGGACTTTACTGAGAGAATAACTGTTTATGTGTTTTATGAAGGCTAAAAAGAGTACCCTTGGTACCTTTTAGGCAGTGGAAACGCAAGCCTGATAAAGGTGACCTGTATCGACCCGTACCATACCGTACTGCACCAGTCAGTGGAAACAGGCCATTACAGTTATCCAGTTCTACCAGAAAGACTTTAGGAGGCAGATAAACGTTTAAACATTTATTGCGATTTGTTTGCATGAATGCAAATTCGTCACAGTCCTTTCATGAAGTCCTTTGGCAAAAGTGCAGAACTCTGGATGAGCTGGCAGATCCTGCCTTAAGATGAAGGAAGGGCGAAGCCTACCCCCTGAGTGGAGATGAGGCCGACCTGGTGGTGGTGGTGGTGGTGATGGGGAGTATGGAGGGAAACTTCCGCAACGCCACCTGAATATTGCGAAACAGATTGTTTAGATGAGCTTATATACATGGCTTGCTTGGTTGTTATAGGCTGACGAGATAATTATTATGAATGACGTGACATTTCAGTCTTCCTGGTAGAACTATCGCTAAAGCTTTCATTTCTCAGATACCCCCTACTCACCCATATAAATATATATTATTGTATATATACCATCGCTCAACATGTCAGAAATAAGAGTACTTTATTATTCTCTGCTCCAGCTCTGATGTGTTATTTACCACTTAGCATGGCTAACAAAGCTGTGATCAATTTTTTTATGCATCTTTTGGCATCAGTCCCTTAGCAACACGTCTGAAACCAAACTTTCTTTTGCAGAAATGCTCTTGTTCCTATCGTCCTTGCTCTGCTAAGTACCCTGCTTTGGGGAGCATGAGGGAATGGCTGCAGTGCTGTACAGGGGAAATTTGTTCTGTATTCACACCATTAATATCCGTGACAGAGGCGTCCGCGTGGCTCTCAGAAGACCCGCGTTAGCGCACAGCCGTGTACAGCACTCCCACTGTACATATGGTATTAGCGAATACTTCAAGCATTGCAGATTAAGCTTACATTAGTCACCGTAAATAAGGCCTTCCAGAAACAACAGCCACACCTGTTTAAGAATTCAGAGCATTGGGATTTTTTCTCGGCCTGGTAATAAAGTCTTAAATAATGCTCATGATTCCTGATTTAATTAGATATGCGAGGTATTGGCTGCTCCATGCTATGGATAGAGGAAGCGGGATTTAATTCAGAACAGATAATAGACACGGTATAATCTTTTGATTGAACACTACTGCGAGCGTTCTCATTTCATTTGACTCTTGTCTAGGATTTGGTTTGTTGTAGGTTGTTTTGGATGAACAATTGTCAACTTTTTAGTAGATCTTGTAGCTGAATTCTTCGACAAATATAACTAATGCAGTTAAAACTAAATAACATTGAACAACTGTATATTGTAATAAATGTATTGTTTATTGTTTGTTCATGATAGTAAATGCATTAACTAACATAAACTAGTGAACCTTATTGTAAAGTATTACCCAGATTTTAAAGAATGCATTTCAAAGTCCAGATTTCCAGACTTAAAGCTCTCCTTTAACCAACCACACCATTGTTTTGGTGTAATAACTGAAATTCCGACTGTAAATGTTGTGATATCTTGAAAGTGTTTCTTTGCTGAGTGTTCAGAGTTTAGGAGGGAGAGATCTGTCTAATGAGGGGCGTCCTGTGAAAGCGCTTGATGTGTGACTGTGGTGTGAAGAGCAAACACCAACTGTCAGCTAACAGGAACATTATGAGGATTTTGCATACAGTAGCCCCAAAAACTATTTGGGCAGTTTATCCACATATTAAGGCGTGGGAATGTAACGCAGATAGACCATTTACAATTGTAAGTGTTTACATTCAAGCATTCAAA